GCTTTTTTTTTTTTCTTTTTTTTTTTTGTACCAGGGATCGAACTCAGGACCTTGCACTTCCAAGGCAGGCGGTGGAATCACTGAGCTAAATCCCCAGCCCCAGTATGTTGTATTTAAGAGCAATGTTTCTCAAAGTGTTTTCTTTTGATGATAAAAAATGAAAACAAGTTCTCTAGCTAAATAATTTGAGGAGCTGCTTCCCTAAAATATTTAGTTTCATTACTAAAGTACTTTCTGGGTCTTCTAAAAAGCATTAAAACATCTTTTTAATGCAGGTAAAATAGTAGTCTCCAAAATTACTTGAATGTAGAAAGAATGTTTTTATCATAGATTCTCTGTCTCCACTTATATTCTGTGGAGTACACTTTGGAAGTCACTGCCATAAAGAGAAAACCTTAGAGTGAAAAGATTTTAGTGTTTCATATACTGAGCCAACTCATTGTTGGAAGCACATGGCCCATTTTGCTTTCTGTTGTTTACATTTCAAATGTAATGGCAATTGCATTCAATTTTATTTATTATGAGTAGTTTCCAATTTAATGCCACGTCTCTTTTTCCGAGTATGGAAGAGCACATTCAAGATGTACTTTGTGTTAGTTAAAACAGCGGGAAAAACCAGGAGCAGACCAGTACTACAACAAGCCTTTATTATGGAGAGGATCTGCTGGGCTGTCTCCTAACAAAGAAAAAGTAGCATGTAGGAACAGGGAGCTTCTTTTTAGGAGTAGTGTGGGGTTAACCCTGAGATGGGGTGAAGTTGAGTGAGGTAGCATAAAGAGATTGGAGGAGCCTGTGACATCACTAGGAGGGAGGTAGCAAGTATCAGGTTACTCTTTAGGCATGAAGAGAGGCATGATAGGAAGAAGGCTGACCCTTGGTAGGAGAAGCCATATTTTACATGGAGGCTGCTATTCCACGTGGTAGCCATCCCAAGGTGCAGAGCATTATGGGAAGGAGGCTACTGTTTTATGTAGCAGCTATCTTGAGGCAAGGGAAATCTAACACTTTGTAAGTCAGCAAGCCTTAAAATGGGAAAAGCAGGTTTGCATATGTCAGGATTTGTCTTTCCTAGGGTAACACAGCCTTAAGAGGATACAGACAGGACCAGGGGACCTGGAATTGATATCATTGATGTAAGCCCCTTAAGGACCATGATCACTGGCAGAACATAGAGGCAAGACAATCTCAGCTACTCAGCGGAGGCAGGAGGATTGTAAGTTAGAGGCCAGCCTAGCTAACTTAGCAAGACCTTGTTTCAAAAAATAAAAAGGTCACAGTATGTAGCTCTGTAGAGTGCCTGACTAGCATGTATGAAGGTTTTAATCTGCAGTACCTCAGAAAAGGTTGGGAGGGGGACGGGGGAAGGACATAAAAGAAAAAATTCCAGACTTTGAAAGATTATTATAAATTGAATTCCACGAAAACTCAATTTTTAGAGAAAGACTGTTTTCAGGAAGGGTATAGGAAGTCCTGTTGGGATCAGTATGTGTTGAAGAGCAGAGGGAGCTGTTGAGCTGAGGCACAATCTCTCTGAAGGCCTCGGATGATCCCACGAGAAGCCCTGGATCTATGGTGAATCTTCAAAGTTGCTCCAAGTTGGGGTGAGAGAACTAGACATTAACAAGAGCTTTATCACACTGTCATTGGATGGGGCTGCCCCTTAAAGCACACTGACCTGACACGAGGCCCCTCTTGTTAATCAAAGGACCTCGACTACTGGAAGAGACTTAAGAGCTGAGAGCTGACTGCAGCTGACACTTGTATCAGCTGCAGGAGTCCTTCCCTCCCTCTCCCTCCCTTACTCCCTGTCCTTCTTCCTTCCTTCTTTCTTTTTCTTCCTTTCTCCCTCCCTCCCTTTCTTTCTTTTTCTCTTTCTCCCTCTTTCTCTTTCTCTCTCCATTTCTCTCTCTCTTTCTCTCGTTCCTTGTTCTTTCTTTCCACAGTGGGGATTGAATTCTTCTCACTGATTTCCCCCCCCCCCCCCGCCTGGGCTGAAATTTGCAACCTTCCTACTGCATCCTCCCAGTGCTGGGATTACAGACATTTGCCACCATGTCTAGCGGTTTCAGGAATTTCTGAAATTATGTGGCACATCACATCCCACTGCAGGGTCAACCTCAGGGGTGTATCAGTGAGATAACAGGAAAGCCTTGATAACAGTTAACACATAAAGATTGAGTTTTGTCACATAATGAGAAGTTTAGAGATCCCAGCATTTGGGTCTTTTATTCTTAGTTTCCACCCATGCCCTGAAGGTATCTGCTAGACCTCCAGCTGGAGGTCTGCATTCTAGGCAGCAAAGACTCCTAGAAGCTCCACCCAGTGATTTAGACTTATATACATGTATTTGTGACTGGGGAAAGGACCTGCATTTTTCAGCACATGAGTTCTGTTTGCAGTTCTAGCTTTCAGCCTAGAGTTCTATCACAGAGGAAGAACAGATATTGAAGGTGACAGCTACTAGTATTTGCCACACACACACAAAACCCCACCACCACTCTGAGACAATGGGCAGAGAAACACTGTAAAACTGTCATTCTTTGTTGAAGTTGCTGGGCTGGGTGACGGGGATGGGATGCTGTGTTGAGTACAGAGAAGATTTTAGGAAATCAGTTAGATAGGTAAGAATGAAAGAATTTCAACATCAGCAGTTGGAGAAACTAGACAGAAAATTTGCCAGAAATTTAGAGGATGACCTTAGAGACCCAGTGAAATTTTCACAGAAACCATTCCCTTATATGCTTCCTTACAGGGCAGAATCAGCTACCAGAAAAACAAAAACAAACAAACAAAAAAAAAACCCAAAACAAAAAAATTCAAGGCAAGCAGTCTTCACAGTCCTGCCAGGCAGAATGCTTTACCTTTGATCTTAGCGCAATTTCAGGTCCACAAAATTTATTGAAAAGTCTCTCAGCTGCCTATTTTAATGATTTGAAATCAAATAGCACAGAAAAAGTTATATTAAGAAGAATCTTCTGGGGCCAAGGATTTAGTTCAGTGGTTCTGCCGCCTGCCTTGCAAGAGCAAGGTCCCAAGTTCAATTTCAGGGATTCCAAGCATAATGCCTGATCTTCCAGGAATCTCGGGAAAAAAAAAAAAAAAAAAAAAAAAAAAGAATCTTCTGCTAGCCAGAGCATATACTCTTATGTACTACAAAGGCTGTCTTCTCATGCCCATGTCTTAAAATCTGTTTTGAAATCCCTTTCCCATAATAATCACAATACTGAAGGGTTATATCTGACATATTTCTCTATGCCCCACTAGAGAAAGATGGGCCTTCCCACTGGCTCTTCCTGCTGTCTGGACCATCATAACAAAGTGTTGTGAGGTAGCAGGATGTACTGTGTGGAATGCTTAGCTTGCTGCCCTAGACCACAAGGTTTCAAAGCCCAGCTCTATGTGATCTTGAGCCAGTAGCTCAAAAATAGGACCAGTTAAGAGCTATTTGACATTTGACAATCTCTGGAGACATGGTTTCCGTAACTAGGGTGGGCATCCTGTGGTAGAGGTTGCTAAATATTAAGACAGTTCACAGGACAGCCCACAGAGAGTTGGCTGGCCAAAATGTGAACAACACTGAGGTTGAGAAAACCCATTTTAACTTTTCCCAGAGTTCATTTCTTCATCCAGAATTAGGGTTTGTAACAGTGCCTACTTAATCATTTTCACCATGGCTGTATGAAGTAATCTACTTGAAATAGCAAAGTGCCTGGTATATAAGTACTCTGTTAATATGAGATGTGATCGAAAAATGTGGTGAATAATTTTTTTAAAAATTCTTACAGTAAAATACACATTGCCACTAATACCTCTCAAAACAATTCCCCTCACTTCAAACACATTTATCTCATCACTCTTGACCCTTTCAAAGAAGCAGTTCTGAAAGTCCTCTTTTGTCAGTGTCTTTACTTGCACTGTCATGGCTGCCTCCTTAATTTCCTGAATCGCTTCAAAATGTTTCTTTTCGTAGTCATTTTGACCTTAGGGAAGGGCCAGAAGTCTCCAGGTCCAGATCAAGTAAAGAAGGTGGGTGAGGATACGCCCTAAAGCTTTTAGGAACCTGCCTTTCTGTTAGATGGCACTTAACAACAATATTCACCATATTTTTTGTCATATTTCGTAAAGACACAAAAGATGTCTTCTAAAATTGCTTCAGAAATAATGGGATACGTGTGTTCAAAACAAGAGATTATCATCATCATCATCTTTATTATTATTAGGCACTGGGGATCGAACTTAGGACCTTACACTTGCAAGTTAGGCGGCAGTGCCACTGAGCTAAATCCCTGTCCCATAAGTTTTAAAATTTAAGCATTCGCTGTATGTTTTGATCAACCTTTGTATAAATTATACTCTTACTCATCAGTCATACAAATCTGAATAGTCGGAATGAAAAGAGTGTGCTCTGCTATCTATACCCATGCAACGCTGGGAGTCCATTTGCCTCTTTTTTTATTGGGTGAAAATTTCTAAAGAATAAAGAAAACAGGAAAAAGACTAGAAATCCTTGGTTACCGAGTAAAAGAGTAAAAGATAATGAAGCAATACTTAGGTGACCACATACTTATTATCCTAAGAAAATAATGCTCAATTCTGTTCCTACAAATAGATATTTTTACATTGACATTGATCTCTTTCCTCTCCTCTCTCCATTTTTCACCTTCTTGCCAAGTTATGCCTCCTTCTTCTTCACATCTTTTGGAGTTTCAAATTTTTTACTCTTTTCTGGTTATGCAGGACTTGAGGGCCTTTAAACTATTAGAAGTCATTAACCAGGACAACGCACTGGTATATTTGCAAATAAAAATTGTGTTGTCATTACAGATTATTCACATAATAACCAAATAAGTCCCTGAAATGTTTGTTAAATTTTCAAATCAGTAATTTCCACTTTGTAATTCTATTAGGAAATCCTATAAGTTCAAACCCCTAACTTTACTGAGTGGCCATGCACTCACTCGTAGTGCAGTGATATTTGTGATTACTTTTTATTTTCCAAGGCAAATGCAATAGGCCGAAGTGCTAAAACTGTTCGAGAATTTCTAGAAAAGAACTACACGGAACATGCGATATCAGATGACAATGAAGCTATCAAATTAGCAATAAGAGCATTGCTAGAAGTAAGTGATGCACATGTTCATAAAATCAGGGGTTATTTTCCTTATCCATTTTTATTTATTTACTTACTTATTTTTGGTACCGGGGATCGAACTAGCCACTTTGGGCTTGTGAGGCAGGCGGTAGCACCACTGAGCTAAATCCCTGGCCCTCCATTTTTATTTATTAAACACAACTCTGTTGAAGAAGTAGTCTTCTGCGTGTCTTAGGCACACAGTCTACCGATGAGCTGCACCTTGAGCCAGCTCAAGCCATTCTGATGTGTGCTTGTTCTACTTTAGGCTGTCCAGTCTGGTGTGAAGAACATTGAACTGGCTATCATAAGAAGAAACCAGCCTTTGAAGGTAAGTCATTGACTAGAGAAGATAAAAACACAGCAAGTTGAAATGTTACTGATACCTGTGAATCTTCATTATAAGCAGGAGATACCCATTCATACTCACGGATGACGTGCTGGTTTGTGTTTCTGTAGGCTGCTAGACACTACTTTGTATGTGCTTATTTCAGGCAGTTACCAATCCCTGTCTCTCTGTGGATACTTGGAAGTGCTGAGCTTGCTGCATAGACCTACATTTAGTCCACTCTCCTATAAGGAGGAACGCCCAAGTGGTAGGTATTCTGTTGGGTCAGTGTAGTGTATCCCCCGTGTAAATTCATTACTGGTGCTGCACAGATAGCAGTTATTCTTCTTGTCCTTTAGATCCGAAATCAAGGCATGCTTCCAGGCAGTGTGATTGACTTGGCGTTTTTACGTAATTGTTTGTCCTCTAGGCTGTATCCTTCATGGTAACAAAGGCTTGCACTCCTTCCTGATTGGTAATGTTTGTTTTTTTGTTTGTTTGTGGTGGTAGTGGGGATCAGACAGAAGGCCTTGGACATGCTAAGCGCACACTTTACCACTGAGCTGCATCCCCAGTCCTGTCTGCTAATTTTGATCTGTTTTCTCTACTTTTCACTTGAAAGTGCCTTGAGCATCTGGCAGGCTTAAATCCATCCCCATTCCCAAGCCCTGGTACCGGGGATTGAACTCAGGACCTTGCCCTTGTGAGGCAGGCACGACTCCACTGAGCTAAATTCCTGGCTCTGTCACACTTAAATTTTAGTTTTTAGCATGTTAATTTTTCTTTGCGGCAAGTCTGACATTATCTAGGTGCCTTTCTTGAGCCATTATGATGAAAACTGCCAGATCACAAAATTAACTACTCAGGATATTCTGATAGAGGATGGCTAACGATCATTAGAAATGGTTCCTGTGGTTTTAGGTAGAACTATATACAGTCTGGTTTGTTAACTAGTACTCTGTATTTGAGAGTGAATGAAAGCACTCAAATCATGGGAAACTATATTAAAAATACATGTGCAGGATTTTTGTACATATTACACATACAGCTTCTATTGGCTTTTAGGAAAATTTTTTCCTTCCTTCCTTCCTTCCTTATTTTCACATGGGTGATTGAATCCAGGACCTTTGCACCAAGCTACAGCCTCAGCCCTTTTACTTTTTATTTTGAGATAGGGTCTCACTAAGACACTAAGTTGTCCAGGCTGGGCTTGAACTTTATCCTCCTTCCTCAGCACCTCAAGGTGCTGAGGCTATAGGCATGTGCCACCATGCCCACTTAAGGAAACTATTTCAGGAGAAGTAGTATTACTGCTGCTCAGAGCAGGAGGGATGTTCACTTTTGGGTTTTCTTGTCATTGCTTAGATAGTACTTTTCTACCTTACATTTATTTAGCCAACAGATGGGATGTGAGGAAAGTATGCAGCCAAATTTCTATAGATATGAGAATTGGGCACAGGGCGATGGGGTCTGTCCCTGTGCAGCCACACATAAACGACAGAGTGTGATCACACAGTGTAGAGATATGGGTACTGGGCTCAGTCACCACACTTGCTAGGAACCAGATCTAGTTCTGGTTTAAGGGCCACAAACCACTTTGCCAAAGAGTTTCAGTGTCTATCCAAACAGCCTAAATGTTTTCTTCATAGAAGTTTGATTAGAGTATCGTGGAAAACTGATTTTTGTTATTATCTCCATAGATTTCTCATGAAAATAATGTAAATCCTGTTGCATTCTCTGTTTCTTTGAATCCTTCTGTGGGACATAGTTCAGTGAAGAGATTAAAAGTGAGACTCTAGGGCCAGGGATTTAGCTCAATGGTTCTGCTGTCTGCAGTGCAAGTGCAAGGTCCTGAGTTTGATGCTCAGTACAAAAAAAAAAAAAAGTGAGACTCTAGAGCTACCTTAGTGCAAAGTCTAGTTCTAACACCTCCTGGTGTAAGGAAATTACTGAACTTCTATGCCGCTGTTTCCTTATCTGTAGAATAATAGCTTTTCCACTTATGGTTTTAGTGAGCATTAAATTGGTAACTTAGAAAAAACACAATAATAAATTCATTTAGTAGTTTAAACCTTTATTACCACGATTTCTGGAGTCCTTGCTCTTAAACTGATATCAGAGATAGAGTGGTTTACTGACCTATCCTTGTCAAGTGTGCTGCATAAAACAAAAATACTGTCATATATGCTTAAGTTCAAGTAAGTTGAATTGAAGTGAATTTTATTTCTCCTAACTTTGAGGACACTGAATTATAGAGAGGATGTATGACCCATTCACAGTCACACAGCTAGTGAATGGTGGACTCAAGAGTCAAGACTACCCTTGGCTTGAAAATTCGGTCATTCATACCAGGCCAGGCTTCCATACTGACAAGAGAAAAAGAGGAGAAAATAAAGAAAAGAGAATCATGGTTCCAAACTTCCGAAGTGACACCCCCTCCCTCGCCCTCAGCCTGGCTGCCGGGCAGCTGCTGTTTCCTTTTGTGCTGGGAAGTTTGGGAGATGCGAAGCCAGCAAGGAGAGCCATGTGCATCTCACAGAGCTGGGGTAGAATCAGTGTGGACTGAGACCCACCTTTCTAGACCCCAGAAGGAGGAGGAGGAAGCTTATGCCATGGGTGTGACCCTCTGACACCTAGCCCCTCCCCTAGGATGTGAGTGTCTCTGACCAGTGGCATCTTTGGACATCTTGACAAAGCCACTTCTTTTTGGAATGGAGTTTTGGGCACATTCCCCCAACTCGGATGAGGCGGCATGGCCACCCCACTGGGCAGGTGCTTAAGTCATTTCTGGCTTCAGCATCTAAATGCCACAGTGTTCTTGGCACTTGGGCTGGGGACCACTGTTGGCTTTCAAAACCACCAGCCAGACCAAGTTGGAGAACTGGATCGCAGCCATCCATTCTGCGTGTACCGTACCTGTCGCAAGACCCCACCACAAAGACATGCTCCGGCTCCTGAAGTCAGAGATCAATAAACTGGAACAGAAGATCGACATGGATGAGAAGATGAAGAAAATGGGCGAAATGCAGCTGTCTTCCATCACCGACTCAAAGAAGAAGAAAACCATATTAGATCAAATCTTTGGGAGCAAAATCTAGAAGAGTTCCAGATGGACCTGTTCCGTTTCCGCTGTCACTTAGCTAGTCTCCAGGGTGGGGAGCTATAGAACCCCAAAAGGCTACATGCTTTTGCAAACCGATCAACTAGTGGCGATGGGCTGCCTTGGAATATTTTCTGTATCATGGTTTCCTGCCCTGGTGGCAGTGCATACTGGTGAGACTGGAGTGAGGAGACTACTCTGGCCACGTGCAGATCAGCCAGCAAGTAAAGGATCAGGTTTTCTTCTCTTTGGGGTTTGACATTACCTCCAAAAAGAAGCAAGGATGCCCAAGCATCAGTCAGGTGTTTGGAGAGGAAACAGATGCCTTAAAGAAATCTTTAGAGGGAATATTGATGACATTGTTCCAGATGGCAAGAGGGAGAGAGAGGTAGTCCTACCTAGCGTCCAGCAGCACAATCCTGACGGTACATCTGGGTCCACGAGTATTTCACTCCATCCTGGTTCTGTCTGCCCAATAATCAGCCAGCCCTGATGGTTGTTGGCCTGGGAGACACTGCACGGACACCCTGGAGCTGATTTGCAAGACACATCAGCTGGACCATTCTGCTCATTACCTGCATCTAAAATTTCTAACAAAACAAAATGCAGTTAAATGTCCTGCAGCCCAAAGAGGACATTTATGATGCTGAATAAAGAGGTTGAAATTAGCTCAAAAGTCACTGAGAGCATCCAGATCGAGAAGTCAGACACAGCGGCCAATAATTACGGGTTTTCACTTTCTTCTGTAGAAAAAGATGGTGTTCAAAGGTTGTATGTGAACAGTGTGAAGGAAAACAGATTAGCTTCCAAGAAAGGTGACAGCTGCTCCTCTGATTTCCATGATTTCTGCATCTGTGGATTCCAACAACTGCAGAAAACTTTCGAGGTGTGTGTATGTGGGGAGTTGCAGCCGTTAAAAAAAAAAGAGAGAGAAAAAAGAAAATACTCTAAGTCAAAGATATAAAGCAAACAAGAGAAAAAAATGTATAAGCCATTTAAAAAACAGAAGGTGAGTGGTGTTAACAATATAGTGGCCCATACCACACCTATTGTACCAGGACTGTACCCTGAGAGTCTGAGGGAGAAGGATTGCAAATTTGAGCCCAAATGGGCAATTTAGTGATTTAGTGAGACCCCATCTCAAAGAACAAAAGAAGGGCTGGGGATGCACCTCAGTGCAAAGGCCCTCGGTTCAGTCTCCACTTTAAGGAAAAAAAAAAATCAGACGATACGTGTCGGCAAAGCAAATTTAAAAGAAGCCTCAGGAGGCTGGGGATTTGGCTCGATGTTCCACTTCCTGCCTTGCAATTGCATAGGCCCGAGTTTGATCCCTGGTACCAAAAATAAATAAATAAATAAATAAAGAAAAGAAAATAAAAGAAGCCTTAGGGCCTACATAGGGGTTAATAATAAGAAAATTCCAGAAAAAAAAAAAAACTTGGACTTGCTGAAACCAGTTATAAATTGCCAACCTTCAGATGAGATAAGAGAAAGAGGTAAAGTGTTAGGGCAGAAACAGATCGGCTATACATCCATACAAAAACTCCCTCGGATTTCCCACCACATCCCATGGAGCCAATTGATTCTATCTCACCTCCTGCACCAGGGACCAGAAATGACCAAAGAGACCTCTTAGCCTGATTTATGCTGTTATTTACCCTTTAGACTGAAATATACTTCTCTGGAGAAACTAACTTGCTTAGTTTGAGCTGCTATAACAGGATACTATTGATTGTCTTAACCAACAAACATTTCTCAACTTCTGAAAACTAAACGTCAAAGATCAGATGCCAACATGATCAGGTACCAGTGAGAACTCTTCTTCCTGGTTCATGAAAAAGGCCACCTTATTTCTTCACAAGGGGCCAGGAGGGAGTTGTAGGGTTGTA